ATTTCTTTATTTCTGTGATTCTGCATGAAATAGTCTGTTGTGAGCTGCAATGGGAGGCAATGCAATGGTTTAGGTACAATCTTTGCAGCTAGCTGGATCAAGAAGGCACTTTTCCTCTTCAGTGCATTGATACTCTCCTCAGTTGATTGAAGCATGGCCCTTAACTTCCTTGCTACTACAACACAATTGTATAACTGGTCCTTTGCCGTGGATAAGACATGACCCATATCTTTTGCTCGATCAAGTGCACTGAACATATGAGAGAGAGAGAGAGAGAGGGAGCATGAACACCAAGAAACTTCAAGTGTTAAATACTATGTGATAACCTTTACAAGGTCAAGTGGAGATACCTCGGATGTAACTCAGCATCAGAATTTGCTTCTCCAATAGCACGTTGATTGTCTTTGATGTGTTTCATCAAGGATTCATAGAGACCATGATCTTTCTTGGACAAAGCAATGCTTGCATATGCTTTTGCCATTATGATCTGGTCCCTCATAAGCTTCAAGGTGGAGTCAGAATTTGGACTTTCGTATTCTCTCCTCCATATACTGTACCTTCCCTTGACTGTAGTGTTGAGCTGTTTGGATTGTTCAATTGCTGCTGCTTGCATTTGCTTTTCAGACTCTTTGTTCTGGTGGATGAGTTCTGCAGTTCGAAGTTCCCTCCTTGTCTGTCGCAGTTTCTGCAAAACTAAAAAACATGACCACCCTGAATCCATTGTCCTAAATATATTTAGAATTTGTGATTAGAAGAATTTGACAGTTCACCTGTCGCTGGAGCTTTATTGGGTTCATTGTGATGGTTGGTTGATACTGCATACCTCCATCCTTGAATTGATGTTCATCAGTAGAAAGCTCACTTCTATCATCCATTCCACTCATCACATGTTGAAATGAATCTTCTCTTGCCTGAAGAAAGCAGTAAGATGGAAACAAATAGCAGTGTTATTAATACAGAAGGAAAAGGTAGTCAAATCAAAATTTTGGACATATATTCTGGACATTACAACCTATTATATTTTAATTGGCATGACCTATTTAATGTATACAAGGATGACATGACCATTCCAGAGAGTCCATAGAAAGGAGACCGGTGGATTTGTCAAGCATTCACTTCTGTACTGGAGCTTCCCAAAGTAACATTATTTTTCCAGAGTTCTCATTTTTCAATTCTAAGAAATGCCTACAACAAAAGGCTTATTTTGGACATTTGGAAACTGGCAAAAGCTTCCTGGTTGAAAGTTGCCCCATGAATAGCAGAATTCAACAAGTACATGTGAGGCACATTTATAACCCTAAAAACGCTGCCACACAGCAGGTCTCTTGTTTATTTATACTTCTCTAAATAACCTGACTAGCAAAACTTTTGCCAATACAGATGAAACTATAGTTAATAATAGGTTATAAGTTCTGTATCCATATGGCTTCCTGTATTCTTAAACTGATAGGAATTGACATGAATGAGCATTTTGTCTATATTCTCATGCTTGATGAGAGATGAGAAATACCTGCACAACATTAAAATCATTGTGCCTTTTATCAGTAGGGTTCTCCCACACCCAGGAAGCAGACAGGTATTTAGATCTGACAGAGTTGATTTGAATGTTGCCGGAAGCATCACTATATGTTGCAATTATTTCAATGTCCTGCACAAAGTTAAATGGATTAGTGTTCTATTATTTATTTATTTTTTGATAAATAACAAATACTTTTATTAAGAGATATTAATATAGAAAAATACAGAGGGGTAAAAACTCTTAACCCTCCCAAGGATTAGTGTTCTATTATTAATCTGGATTTAGCAAGGAAAATAAATTTAATTCGTTACCCCTCCATCATTACTAAATTTGAAAATAATGAAGAGAACAGATTTTATTGGATACCTCTTCATCTGGATTGTTGTCAACTTGACCAGCTGAAGCATATATTTTTTTGTAATCCTGTACCTGCTTAGCCAAATTAGATGAAGAGATTGAGATAAGTACACTAAATAAAAGATGTCGTCACATGAACAAGAGTGGTGATAATTCAATACTTTTCATATAAATACAATATTTGATACCATTTCAAACCCTGGTGATCATTTCTTTGATGCTAATAGTTACACACTTCATAAGGAAACACTGATCATCCAAGCCTTATCCCAAATATATGGAGTCAGCTTAGAAGCAATCACTGATAAATTCCAAATTTGACAGATGACAATAGCACTTCATTTACATTTTCTTTCCAGTAGGCACTCAAATTCCATCCACAGTTAATGGTTCTGTTTTGCCAAGCTCCATAATACGTGTATATTAATCCATAGGGGTGAGCATGGGTCAAGTCGGTTCGGTTCCAAGGTAGATCCTGGAACCTACCCTGTAGGGGTCTGTTCCAGGCTTTTGGAACCAGAACCCACCCTATCAAGACCAGTTCCAACATCAGTCCTGGCCTTGGTGGTTCTGAGGTCGGTTCCAGGGTCTACCTATGGAACCTGTTATTTACAACAACAGCAACAATAATAATGTTCAAACTTGATTTTCAATAATGAGAATATATAGTTCAAAGCTTATCTTTATGATTTAAATTTTGTGAATAGTACCTTTTACATTACTTATTATACACATTCAAATATTAAATTGAAGAAAAATTATCAATTCACTTAAGTGGCTCAATGGTTAAGTGAGGCCATGGTCTTTGTAACCATGAATACTTGGGTTCAAATCTTCACATCATCAAAGTATTTTGGGATTTATTTTTAAGGCAAATTCGGTTCCGAGGCTGGTTCCACCTAGGCCAACCAAGGCTGGTTCTTAGGGCCAGTTCAGGTAGGGTAAACCCCTAGACCCTGGAACCAACCTGGTTGGTTTGAGGTTGATTCCAGGTATCCTACCCATTTGCTCACCTTACAATTATTGCTAACCAGTTAAGACCTATGCTACCTGAATACAGCAAGGTTATGACGGGCTACATTATTGGATACAAAATTTACACTAACAATTGTAGAGGTATCTGGGTATCATAGGTTAAGACATGCTTCAATAATAATGGCCCAGTAACTTAAGGATATAGTTCTTGGGAATAGTGTTATCTTTCATCTCTTCTAAGAAATAGTTTAATTTTTATTTACCTATCTATATACTTGTTTATTTCTAATCTGCGAAATCTTTTCTTTTCCTTATTTCTTGCTTTCTTTACTTTCCCTCTGATCAGTTTCCAGATCAAGGAAATACATTAATTAATAAGCATAAAAGGATAAATGTATAAAAGAAAGTTTCCCAAATTGAGAGAGAGAGAGAGAGAGAGTAGATCTAGAAAGCCAGGATTCCACTCCAGTAGATAATCTGCTAGATCATTAGTTAATCCATCAAATCATTTTAACATGCAAATCAATACTATTGCACCATCACCTTATAATTGAGCTAGTAGGTGGGCTTTTCTTTTATTATTTTTTTACCGTAAATCCAAATATCTATGCATGTTTACTTGGCCATGCCTGTTTTAGAAACTCATAAAATTTGGCATTATTTTGGGGTGGTACTGATATTTTAAAATTTTAATTAACTTCCAAGATTTGATTATGGCAATGCCTTTATCTTTTATTCTAGGTTGTTGTTCATGTTTCCAAGACTAGGGTCACTTATACCAATTCTATTAAAATTGAACTAACCCAAACAAATGGCAGTTCAAGATCTTATAACTCATGCACCTGAACTGATCAATGGTGTCTACGTGATATCATAAATGAATCAATTCTAAAAAAATTGAGGGTACATATAGTATTTTAGAAGGTGCACCTGGGTTCACAAGCAAGGTTCATTGTTAGGTGCACTTTGCCGGACTTGTTGCTATGTTCTTTTTAATCAGTAAGAGTAGAGCTTTGTTATAGGGGAAAAAAAGGAACAGAAAGTCCAAAGTTCAAAGAACAACCACCACCCATGGAAAAAAAAAACCATGAAAAATTAGGGCAGGGCCCTTGGCTTCTCCCCACCTACAATTTAAATGTAGTATGTAATAGACTACAGCATTCTTTTTCTTTTTGATTGTTAATCATTGAATCTTTATTGGTATTGAAAAAAGAATGTATAGGCAATCAACAACTAAGGATCCATTGTTGAGCTAGCCTAAGCTACCCAGTCCCTAAAGAGTCAGTCAAACAACTAAAATGAGAAAGGTCCACAATAAACACACCAACTGATAAAAAAAGCATACCTACACATAGGCCCCACCACCACTCAAACACATCAATAGTAAGGCAAACACAACTAGAATGAGAAACATGCGCATTGTGCAATTACAGAACAACAATTCGTTTATTCAAATTTATAATTTTTTCCCTAACAAAAAGACTGTAGGTTTTGAGCTGTGGAGGAAGAATAAGAGGGGTACTGCAAAAAGCTTTTAGAATAGTCTGGAAACAGGAAAGTATTGCCCACTTCATGTCAGTAAACAATAGCCACTGGATACTAAAATGGCTAAATATAATGGAGACAGAATTTCACTTAGTGAATGTATAAAACAAAGCATGAAACCTTTCTGTTGCCGCATTGCTCACAATCATGCAGGGGCCAATATCCTTTGAGTTCCCTTTGACTGAAAGTGCATAGCCAGAAAAAAAAAAGAGTATATTACAAAGATTAGCAGGTTTAAATCTCTCCAAAAATATGTATATAAATCTGTGAAATATACTCTTTGAATATCTGCAATAATAGACATGTTTCTGAGTGGTCTTACGTTACTGGTGCATCTGATATATCTGCCCTAACTAGAGCCACAAGGAACAGCACCTACATGAATGAATGGAGAAATTTAAGAAGATATGTTGACAAGGAGAACTTGGAATTTCCACACCGCAGTGGGGAATGGCATCAAATAAATCATAGAAGGCAAATTTCTCAAGTGAAATATTAAAGAGATAATAAGGGACTAAATAATGATGTTATGAATCATGTAATATCCATAACATTAGCAAAATAAATGCATCTTATTTAACTCTACCACATCATAGGAGTTGAATCATGTTAGTGAAACCATAACTTGAGAAAGCAAGTCATTCACAGTAGGCCAAAAGTCACATCAACAGAAGTTTTATTTCTTATTAAAGATAATATTCATAAGTGTTCTTTTATTTCTTATTAAAGATAAATATTAATAAGTGTTTACCCTTCCTATCAAGGTTCAAAGTATCGACACGTATACGTGTCGTGCTGATGGCTTCCCGATACGCCCCTACAGGGGTTGTATCAGGTCAGACCATGGTTCAGAGGGTAGCTGGGACTTAAACCAATCCCTCTGAACTGGTTTTGAAAAAAAAAATAAATAAAACATAAAAAAAATCACCGACACAGGCCAATGCGCCCTATTGGTGTATCGGCCTGTGTCAATATTTATAACCTTGCTTCCTATATACACAAGTATTTATTTTCACATTTCTTCTTTGGGAATATAGCCTCTTCCTAACTTCTGTTTTAGGACATACATATCTATCTAATTTTAAAGAAAAAATGCAAAATAAGATAGAGACAGAAAAGGGTTGTGCCACATGGCCCCATTGCAAACTAAAAGTACCTCATGCCTAATAAGTTAAAACATTAAAAAATTAGGAAAATAAATTAAAGGTATATTACGTAAAAGTATGTTATGCATGTTAGAATAATGTTAAAATAACTTAGTTGCAGATGTTAGGGCCTGTTTGGCTAATTAAAGTGTTTTTTTATTTCGTTTTTTATTTCTGTTATGNGTTAGAATAATGTTAAAATAACTTAGTTGCAGATGTTAGGGCCTGTTTGGCTAATTAAAGTGTTTTTTTATTTCGTTTTTTATTTCTGTTATGTCGGTTATTGTACTCATGGGCACAAGGGTCTTTTCCCTTGTTATTTCGGCGGCCCTATATATAGTAAAATAAAGACTGGTGCCGCCAGTACTATTACATTGCAAAACCTTCTTTCTTCTCTCCTCTCTTCTCTTTTCTTCTTCTCATTTCTTCTCTTCTCTTCTTCTTATTTCTGGCCGGCCAACACTGTCAAGATGGTATCAGAGCGGGAATACTGATTAAAGAGAGCAGATCGATCAACCCTACTGTCAAGAGCAGA